ATAGTCGATAAAATAATAATAATAATAATAAATATAGCTGCGAGCAGCGATTACGGGCCCAAGCCGGTGGCACCGCAACCCCGGTTCCTTTAGTTACCTAAAGGCACCGGGGTGGCGGTGCCGCCGGCTTTGGCCCTTCATCGCTGCTCGCAGCTATATTTATATATATATATATATATATATTTATAAATATATATATATATATAAATTATATATATATATATAAAATATATATATATATATATATATATATATATATATATATATATATCACTTGCCTTACCTGATTAGAACAATGAAAACACTAAAAAAATAACTAGGGAATCACTAAACCGAGAGAATTAATCTGTTTTGATGATACACTCAAAATATTACACAAGCAATTCTTTAAATTTAATGATATTCAGAACAGAACAAGAATAAAAAAAAACTATAATTAAGAAATAACCGAAATAATTGAAAGCGAAAGTGAAAGTAGGTGGTGTTTGGCTCACGTAACTCTCTCATTAGAATCAAACTGTTTCAACATTTGCGATGTATTTGGATGCTAAACTATTCTTCATTATGGGCTTTGTACTTCACTCAGGTTTCAATATGTGTGTGTGTGTGTGTGTGTGTGTGTGTGTGTGTGTGTGTGTGTGTGTGTGTGTGTGTGTGTGTGTGTGTGTGTGTGTGTGTGTGTGTGTGTGTGTGTGTGTGTGTCTGTGTGTGTGTGTGGGTGAGGTGCGGGTGCGGGTGCGATTGAACTGTTACACATAAAAACATACTCCGTCATTTTGTTCATAGAGGACATCATTCAAACTGCAAAGTGTTTACTTATATTTGTGTACACTCGCAATAAAACACAACAAAGTGCTTTTGTCAAACTATAAACTCTTGTCAAACTGTAACCTACAACTGTCACCCAACTAAAATCACAGGCACACACTGTCTAAAAGCAAAAAATATTTATCCAACCCCATTTAAAACAGTCTGTGGGTGCCATCTTTTGGACATTCACCATATCGCATTGATTTTCATTTATTGTCCTCAGAGCCCTAATCTGTTTATTTTTCAATTACACATTCTACATTGATTAAAAAAGAAAATTCTAATGTGTTTTTATTTTATACAGGAATAAGTTATTTATAATTCAGATGAGAATAAAGTTAGTGTTAGTTCAAATTTTAAGGAAAACAAATACATTGATCTGAAATATAGCACATTCATCTCAGGTTAAATTACCAAACATACAATCTTAATTTAATTTAAAGCAAACGATACATTTAAAATATATGGGTTGTATGCATATTTTGGAATTAAAAAAAAAGATATATATCCAAAAAGACAAGGCCTTAAACTTGAACAAGGGTTAAACTCTTGTCGCTGTAAGAGACACAATGATTCAGCATTTTGAACGAATCGATTGACTCAAAGATTCATTGACCAATCCATAAACATGTATTGTCTCATTCATGAATGACTCAGTCGTTCGAACGAATCATTTGAACGAATGAATCAATGACTCACTCATTAAGACGGTCGCCTGGCGACACCTAATGACGGTTTAGTGTTATGTTTAAAAGTATCATTCTTTCCAACTCATATTTAAAACAATCTCACATTATTTAATGCATTGTTATTTTTCAGTGTAAACGATTTAATTTGATCACCCCTACCTAGAGTAACAGCCATATAGTGTCTTATTATTCTAAATAATTGAATTTATTGATCAAATTTACAAATTAAAATGAAAGATGAAGCATACATTTAATAAGACTAGACTAGGGGTGCCCAGCAGATATTACAATTGGCAGATTTAAATATACCATGGCCCCCCACCGTCAATTTGGTGTGTGTATAATAAAATCATTTAGTCACTACAATTAAAACTTGAACGTATTTGCTTACTAAATTGTGAGCAGAACGAAAGTTGCAGCAAAGATCAGCAACAGGAGTCAAAATTCATTAATCACGAGAGTGAAGAGCTGACTGGAAAAATTATGACGGAATATTTTGTGTAAAAGCGCCTATATAAGCGAATCTGTCATTTACTCTTTTGTTGTTGTGTTTTCCCTGAAAACCGGAAGCAATCGGTCCCCGATATGGCGCTAATTTTCAAGTGACACTAAAAAGTATGCGGCTGCACTGGAATTCATAACGGTGCGCGTCCATGGCGACGAGCGAGCAAAACAGAGCGAATGTTTTTTCATTTCTACTTCCATAGAAATTCATTCGAGCGCACTGTGAGCGCCACCACTATAAATGTCCGTGCGGACGTCCTTACTTTACTTTCACTTTTAACTTAGCGATTTAAAAGCCCCCGGTGTTACACGTCAAATAACCGGTGAGAAAATATTCTCGGAGTCACATAGGCTACCTAATATATTTAAATACAATAGGCCTACCTGATTTTGAACACAAGAGGGCAGTATAGCCCTATGTATTATTTGATATATTTATTTTTTTAACTGAATAGTGCATCCTGGCTGTTTTTAAACTTGTACATTACTCTTAAATTGAAAACAAGAATAAAATGGGTTTAGTTGTGATATTTGTATAATTTTATCTAGAAATAAATGGTGTATAATTAAATTTTTAGAAGATATGAGGCTTTTAGTGTTTATTTTTTTTTTACATGACTTTAATCCCTCGCCATAGCAAAACAATTAGAGATATTCAATAGATATTCACAATTATGCTTCTTTAATGTATTTCCATCATGTTGAAAAAGTTTGGTGGGAATAAAATAAACCACTTAAGAGGAGTGGGTAAAAATGTAGAGCCTGGTTTTGCAAAACATCCACATTAAGACAAAAATAGCCCACTTCCTGTTGGGCTGGCTTAAAGTTGTTTGGCCCGATGAGATCTATATATCGAGTTTCATAATATTACATGCAAGTGTGTTTGATTTATGGACCAAATTTTCTGACGAAGTTTATGGACCAAGTTAATTTAATTAATAAACTAATTATATAAAACTATTTTCAATGCACTACAATTCAACTGGTTATATGCCTTTACTTATTAATACAACTTATTTAAAAAATACAAGGCGTAAGACATTTATTTTCTTTTTTAATGCAGGCCAAACAACACAGCAGTCAAATGGTTAATCTAGCCCCCCTCCCCCTCCCCACACTCACAGACACACACACACACACACAGAGACGTAGGCTCAGAGAGAGAGAGAGACATAAAATGACAATTTTCAAACCAAAATATCTGACTTCCTGTTGGTTGGAGCTATTGAGTGTAAATTAGAAACTTGTCTGGCTGGAGGAGAACAATACACATACCGATTTTTATTACTGTAGATAAAATTAATCCCCCCACTTTTGACAAAAGGTGGCGCTACTGAGCCCTCAACACGCCCGTTTCTGAAACTTTGCACATGTCTACTGGCTAATAAATGAGATGTGTCTGTCGAGTTTCATGCAATTTTAAGCAATTTCAGGCATGCTAAAAGTCTCAAAAGCATAAAAAAAGAATATTAAAGTTTGATGCGTTGCCACGACAACAGTATCTAAGATATCAAGAATCCATTCACAGGTCTACATCTGCCGTGTGTTTACATTATAGCAGTGAAGTTTGAAGCAAATCGGGTTAAAATAAGAGGGTGATTTCAAAGCATTTTGAAAGTGACACACTTCCTTCTGCCAGTTGGTGGCGCTATAACTTTGACTCACAATAGTCACATCCATGTGATCGGCCTCTTACGACGAACACACTGCTGAAGTTTCATCAAGATCAGTTTATGTATGCAGAAGTTATAACACACTTCCTGTTTCCATTATTCGCCATAAATTCGTTTCCTCGCCACGGCCAAACCGTTCGAGATATGAAAAATCCCCTGGCAATTTTTCATCCTCAATGTCTTGACATCATGCTGACCGAGTTTCCTTGTGATTGGTTGAATTCTCTAGGAGGAGTATATCGAATTCCAGGGGCATACGCTTCCAAACAAACCATAATAGCCGACTTCCTGTTGGGCTGGGGTAAAAAGTAAAAGTACAAAGGATATATGAACCGATGAGATCTATATGTGTACCGAGTTTCATATTATTACATGGAAGCGTGTTTGATTTATGGACCAAGTTTTCGGACCCCGTTCCAGGGGGCGCTGTCGAGCCCCCCTGCCACGCCCGGGTACCAGCTTCAGCCCGGCCCTGATGGCCGCGGGTTCTGACCAGTGTGCAAAGTTTCAAGAGTTTTCGTGCACGTTAAGAGCCCCAAAAGTGCCCGAATAGTCGATAAAATAATAATAATAATAATAATAATCCTAAGGAAAACAATAGGGCCTTCGCCTTTTCAAGGCTTGGGCCCTAATAATAATCCTAAGGAAAACAATAGGGCCTTCGCCTTTTCAAGGCTTGGGCCCTAATAATAATAATAATAATAATAAATAATCCTTAGGAAAACAATAGGGCCTTCGCCCTTTGGGCTTGGGCCCTAATAATCAATATTATATTGCTGTAATACATCATTCAGTTTGGCCGTGTTCGGAAACCTAAAAACTAAAGCATTCTAAAGAGATATATTTTAAACATTAGTAAATATTTCAAAATTGAGAAAAATTCATATATTGTTTTTCATATCATTGTGACCCCGTGAAATTTGCCTACAAATTCTTAAAGAAAGCTAAGACAATTAAATCATTAATCACAAAATGTTGTGATCGTGACATCCCTGGTTGGTCCTCCTCCTAAAGAGGAGAGCAAACATTATAAATCTTCTTGGTTAATAAATACAGCACTTCACATGGTAAATTAGCCATGGGCTAAAAGAAGACTTTATAGCAATGCCTTTTACAGCAAACCACACTATTTAGACAGTGAAGCAGAGGAGTGTGGGTTTAATAAGCATGGATTTCTGAAAGCGGATGCACACCAACCTTCTTCCTACCCACTGCTCTATTTTACCCTGCCATTACTTGTCCTTGATGTACCAGCAAGTTCAGTTCTACTGTCCCCATGTGCCCCCATGGCCCTACCAGGTCATGTTCTACTGTTGGTTCTAGAAGAGTAAATGTAAGTGAGATAAGACCGAATCATACCCCATCAGGTAGAGCTCGCCAGCACACTGCACTGACAAATTCATTGGTGTCGTCCTCCTTCTTGTCCTTGTCCAACACACTCTTTACAGTGTCAAACTTGAAAGTCAGCAGCGTCTTAGAGAGCCCCTTGTAGTACAAGTACAGTGAGTTGTTTTCACTTCCTGTGGGTGGGGTATGAAGTGAAAGTATTATTGAGGGTTTTTACACCACATAAACATTTATTACAGTGTAAAAGTTTGTTTTATTCTCCTTTTTCTTTAATAATAAACTGATTTGAATGATCAGAGGAAGTTTAAATCAAACAGCATTATCACAACTTTGATTATAAACCAACTCAACTTGTTTTGTGCCAAAAGTAAACCTTTTTAACCGATTTTTCATAGTGCCACTCACCACATGCTACATAGTCTCCATTAGATGCCAGACCCACAAAGTTCTTCTCGTTGATGTGGCCTTTGAAGGAGCGCAAACAATGAGGCTTGTTCACATTCCAGAGTTTCAGCTGGCTGTCCGTTGAGCTGGGGGTGTCAAAATGTAACTTTAATGTTAAATTAACTCAAAAGTTGTTTGTAATTAGTGGTGCAACAGATCAGATTTCTCATGGTACGGTTTGGATCATGGTTCTAGTTGATTTAAAGATTAACCAATATTTTTGTAACACTGTAAACCGCTACTGTTCCAATAGCTGATGTTTTGTTTAAGCATCGTGATACAATGTACAATATAGGTAGTTACCATGACATGCATTTTCCACTGATAAAAGAAAAAGTACAAGAGTTTTCAATGTATACATACGCAGACACAATTTCTTCTCCATTGACAAACTTGGCGTAGGACACTGCTTTCCTGTGGCCTTTGAAAACCATGATGGGCTGCTTAGTGTTTCTCAGGTCATAGTAGTGCACACAGTGGTCTGGAAAGGAATAAGAATGAGCTGAAAAGTTTTACGATTATTGCGGGAAGTAAAACTTTTAATAGATCGATTCAAATGAATTATGTACCTGCACAACCAAAGGCAAGGTGATATCGAGAGGATGGACTGAACTTGACACAGCATACATTGGCCTTCGCTTCAATGCTGGCTACTGAATTGTCCAGGTTGGTGGACCACAACTTGACTAGGATAAAGGAGTGTATTCATAAGTATTTATAGAAGAATATTTCTGTAAGAATCCCAAATCAAATAACAATATCGGAACAGTTCAGTTGCAAAAATACCTTTTGCGTCATCTGATCCCGATGCTAAGAGCTTGGGATCCATGAGGTTGAAATCGACACTCCAACACCGCTTTTCATGCTCCTGTGAAAATCAAAATCTAACTTAGATTAAGTCTAAAGGAATTGCAAATTACACACGTCATGTGTTATATTGCATATTAAATTCAAAATTAACCCACAGCTCAATGTAAATATATTTAAGGCTGCAACAGCTAATCCAATTGATGATAAAAATAGTTTGTGCTTCTGTTTTAATCATTTTTTTTAGCACATAATGTATAGCATAGCCTACAGTACATTAATATGTATATTCATTATTTTTATATCCTTTAATTTGCACATTGTTCAGAATACGTTTATGTAAACATGTTTTCATAGTATATACATAAATGATTTTTTTTACCTCATTAATTGAAGAAAATAATCAAATTAATCATTAATCAAAACAAACATACAAAACAAATGTTCGGGGTCAGTACGATTTTTTTTTTCTTGAAAGAAATTAATACTTTTATTGAGCAAGGACAAATTAAATTGAATAAAGATCACAATAAAAGCATTTATACTGTTACAAAATATTTATATTTTAAATAAATAGGCTACTGTTCTTTTGAACTTTCTATTCATCAAAAAACCTGCACGTTTCCACAAAAAAATATTAAGAAGCACAACTGTTTTTAATTTTGATGATAATAAGAAATGTTTCTTGAGCACCAAATCAGTATATTAAAATCATTTCTGAAGGATCATGTGACTAAAGTTTTTGTTAATATTTTTTGTTATCATAGGAATTACATATTACATTAAAATAGAAAAGTGCTATTTTAATATTTCACAATATTACTGTTTATTTCTGCATATTAAAATCAAACAAATGCATCCTTGGTGAGCATAAGAGACTTCTTTTGAAAACATTATAAAAAATAATAACAGTATATTAATAGTACTATTATTTTTGCAATACATGTATGTTTCTTACAACTAAATATGACATGTAGATCTGTAATAGTTTGAGAGTTAATAAGGAAAATGTAATAATTTGCTCTCCTACTGAAAGGGGTGCAAGAATAATGAATGTCATCTGGTGCAGCCCTACACATAAGGGTACCTGGTAGACCTTTGACCTCTGACCCGTGAACCCATCCCAAAGAATGACAGTCCCCTCATAGTCACTGCTCGCCAACAGATTTTTGTGGTAGCTACTCCAGCTGATACAGCTGGAAAGAGACAATGAAACACAAGAGAAAATGTGACACACTGTTATGCCACTGCATAATCCACCAAGAACATTCAGGCCAACCCCTGATTTCAGATACTCTTTATACCTAATTTTGGAGTTGCATGTCATCTCGTTGACAGGATAATGAATGTCCACAGCATCCTGGATCACAGTGCCGTATTCAAACACTTTAATTTTCTTAGTGACACCGGCAATGGCAAAGTAATCACAGTCGCGGTCAAACTCAATGCTGCAAAAGAGGGGAAAAGAGAGGAGACAGAACAAGTGTTAACACACGAGTTCTCCTGACTGTGGCATGCTCATTATCTGCTCTACTTCCACTCAAACACAGACACTGAAAGAGACCAGAGCTGTAATGCATCCAAACAGCCTCTCAGCCGCCTAGGTGATCAGATACAAGGATGTCTGAAAAATGTGTGTGTGATGAAAGCCGAACAAGGTTCCATTGCTAGTTGAGGATTGGTGTAATATTACTGAACATTACATCAAATATGAAAATTACAGTTGGTTTGAGCCAATGATTACATTTATAAACCCAATTCTATGGTTGGGAATTGAGAACTGAACCAATTGATTTATACGACGTTCAGATTCGTTAACAGTTCCTGAACGTCTGCCATCTTTCACTGATGCGGAAGAAACAATTCTGAAACACTCAGATAGTGTTTCCTGCACTGTTAAATCTGAAGAAGAAAGTACCCTATGAAATATACACTATTGTTTATAGGTTTAGGGTCTGAATAAAAAATAAAGTTTTTGAAAGTCTCTTATGCTCATTAATTATTTGAACAAAAATACAGTAAAAACAAAATTATATATTGTGAAATATTATTACATTTTAAAATAACTTCCTATCTTAATATATTTTTAAATGTAATTTATTCCTTTTAATTTTTTATTACTATTTTAATTCCTATTTATTCCTTTTGTAGTTACTCTAGTCTATCACATTCAGAAATCATTCTAATATGCCACTTAACATTAACATGTGCAAGTAACACTTTCTATTATCAATGATGAAAACAGTTGTGCAGCTCAATATTTTTGTGGAAACAGTGGTACATTTTTTTCAGGATTTTTTGATGAAAAGAACTGATCAAAAGTGCAGTATTTAGTCAAAATCTTTTAATTTCTTTCCCATAAATAGCCTGAATTTTGTTCTCTGACATTGTCCTAGCTGGTAGCTCAAAACAACAAGCATACAGCGAGATCTGTAGTCCAATTTGTTTTTTTGTTTTTTTTTAATGAATCTGTCAAAGCAATTTATAAATAAGCCGAACAAATCAGCCTACCTGGCTCACTCACTCACTCAATTTATCAGCCGTAGTAGTTTTGAATTAACATCTAATTCACCATTAAACCACAAGCTATTAATTTCAACAATAAATAAGCTGAGAACTGTCAAGGTGTTATGTTGTATTTAAGGTTTAGAAGACTGTAATTAATGACTGATTAATGAGAAGTATTAGGATGGAGATCATGAGATATTACATTTAAGAAAAACAAATAAGAAAAAACGGATATACATTAAAGCACACCTTGAAACAGGCCACAATTCCAACTTTTGGAAAATAGTCTTCAAAATGCTCAGTCAGATGTTATTCAGTAATACAATACTACCCTCTGCTGGTTACTTCAGAAAAGGAACCGAAAAAAAGATTAAAGTCCAACAACATGTGGTCTTAACCCACTTCAATTAAGTTTTTGGAACCTTACCTGGACACAATACTGGAGCCATTATAGAGGTCACTAGCGTAGGAGAGGGTGGCCAGAGGCCTCACAGAGTTGTAACGGGTAAATTTTGATAGACACTCCATGAAATCATCCAGCTGGTTAACAGTCCTGCTGTCATCTATTACCAAGAAAAGAGATTGTGTAATAACAGTATTACATTTTTTTTTAATAAACAACATTGTTTTGAATCAACCAACCCGTTATGCGAGACATCCTATTGGAGAAATAACACTGCTCTAGATCCTCAAAGTGTGCCGTCAGTCTCTTCCGCCGCGACGCCAGAGTGCTGTTGTACCATGTTTGTCTCTTACCCTAAAAGTAATAACAATAAACAGTGAATATCAGCATTACTCCAAGGGATATTAACCAGCTATAACAACAAACGGGAATAATTCATGAAAAACAACAACAAAAACAAGTTACCTGCGAGCTTCCACCAAAAGGGGGCTGAATGTATTCTGGGGGGTCTATTATGCTACTGCTGTAGACAAACAAGATTAGAATTTTTTTCATCCAAAAATACTGCGTACATAATAATTAGGTTAGCATCTCATGTGTGCAGAAATGACATTAATTTCTTTGTGTGAAATACTTTTTAATGAGGAAAAAAATACTGCGTGCACCTGCAGTATAAAACGCAGTCTTACCTGGGTGCAGGTGAGGGAGCTTCAAACTGAGGTACAGTACTATCTAAATTGGGGTCCATGTCACTCACTGGTGAGTACATACCGCTCATTTCCTTAAAAAATAAATCATACGCATCAGATGTACACTACTGTTCAAAAGTTGAAGGTCAGTGACACTTTGATTCAGCAAAGACACAAACTGATCATAAGTGACAGTATACAATTATATTACAAAATATTTTGTATTTAAAATAAATGCTGTTGCTTTGGACTTTCTATTCATCAAAGAAATCTTAAAAACATATCGCAATTTCCACAAAATCATTCAGCAGTACAACTTTTTTTCAACATTGATAATCACAAATGTCTCCTGAACAGCGAATCAGAATATTAGAATGATTTCTGAAGGTCATGTGACACTGAAGACTGGAGTAATGACTGCTGAAAATTCAGCTTTGCCGTCATAGGAATAAATTACACTTTAAAATATATTCAAATATAAAAAAGTTATTTTAAATTGTAATGGCATTTCACTCTATTCTTCTTTTTACTGTATTTTTGATCAAATAGTAAATATATAAGACTTCATTCAAAAGCATTAAAAAAAAAATTACCAGCTCTAAACTTTTGAACAGTGGTGTATAATCGTATATGTAAATATATTACTTTTCACACCCATAGATCGTTTTCTTCGTTCCAAAAAAAACCTTGCATTTTCTCCTTGGTTCGGTTCGCTTTCACAAGGCAACATTTTAAAGCGTACCAAAATGTGTTTATGCAAATCACATGGGAGTAAAATTGTCCCCTTATTGGTCAGAGTTCACCTGTTCCTCTGCGTCAAGAAGTAACAAGTTCGCTTTGCGGGCTTATTGTGGCTCTATCTGTAGCTGTCGTGACACACGCAAACACTTATATGAACGTAGCCTTGATTCCCGCTCTGACTGATAAATTATATACATTTAATTATATTGAAATTCTCTCTCTCTCTCTCTCTCTCTCTCTCTCTCTCTCTCTCTCTCTCTCTCTCTCTCTCTCTCTCTCTCTCTCTCTCTCTCTCTCTCTCTCTCTCTCTCTCTCTCTCTCTCTCTCTCTCTCTCTCTCTCTCTCTCTCTCTCTCTCTCTCTCTCTCTCTCTCTCTCTCTCTCTCTCTCTCTATATATATATATATATATATATATATATATAATTTAGAATGCAGTTAGAGCGGGAATCAAGGCTTCGTCGGGGCAGCATTCTTGCAATGCACGGAGAAGAGCAATTACATAGATGAAGAGGCTTTGGTTTTCAACCACAAAAACAGAATCAGATTCTGCTGCATTTATATAACATTTCCCGTTATGAATTATGATACTGCTTGGTGATACTGCTTTCTCACCTCAAACAAAACAACCCCAGAGTTCATTTTCAATCAGACTTGACCACCTCGTTCAGGCGGTCTCGGATCGATTGTTTTGGTACGGATCCAAGCACAATTGCCGTGTTCATGTATGCCTAAATTAACCGAACTAAGGGAGAAAAACGCACCAGGTTCCAAAACAAATGCTCCAAACGACCAAGGTGTGAAAATGTCCTTAGAAAAATACAAAACATCTCTATGCTAGACCATAAAAATAAATGTCCTGTCTCTGACAATTCTGGGTCACCATACTAAACTGACCTCAACTCGTTTGATATCCTCTTCCAAAAAGTTCAGTTCTTTTTGTAACTGCTCCAGTTGCTGTTGAAGTAAAGACAGGGAGACTTTATGAGTTAATGACCTCATAGCTGTCAACTCTGCATTATTCAACATTTTAAAAATAGATGTGGAGGCTAAACCTCTCTTTTATTTCTTCTGGCTTCTTTCAGGAATTCCATTAAGATCTGGCGCTGAGCAGCTTGTGATTCCTGTGAATAGAGATCAGTGAAAGATCAGCAAAAGATGAGCAAGAAGTTGAGGGGGTTGTGTGCCTTTATAAGACAAATTATTATGGCCTATCATGATAATCAGCAACGCTTCCAGGCTTTTCACACAAGCAGCTTTAAGCGAGAAATCTTTTAAGCATTATATGATGCTTGTTAATGCTGATTAAGTTTTAATAAAAAGTTTATATAAATAGATCACATTTAACCTTTGACAATCAATCAGACTTACTAACTGCAGGTTTTGACCAATGTATATTCCTTCACAAGAACTCAGTATGTGCCATGGTGCAGGTGGTAAAATAGCGGTTTGTGGTTTATTTGGCCTTATATTTGTCACAGCAGTTACACTTTGGAATTTAAAAACAGTGGTATTTCACATTAGGGCTTGAGTGAACATAATTTAGGTCAAATTTGGGTTTATTTTTATCCACCGAAAACAAAATCTACAGAATACCAATCTCCAACAATCCTAGGTGTTTCAACACCATAGGCAGGCAGCACTTTATAGTCAGTTTCAGCTGAATGTGAATGAACCGCTAATATCAAACGGCTATTCCCAGGGTGTCTGAAGAACCCAGAAGTGTTGCATCAAGCACCAGTAATATTATCTGTAAGTATACCAACCGCCTCCAGTTGTTTCTTTTTTTGCAACAGGTACTCTAATATGTAGTTGACATTGGCTAAATCCATATTCTCTTGATCTGCACCAAGAACGTCTTGGAAAACCTGCCATTTGGTTCCATTCTATAACCAGCATATGAAACAAACAATAAGACATCATTTTTTGTGCTATAAATTATCTGCAAAAGTCAATCAAATGTGTTTAAGAAGTTTCCACTCATTATACAAATGGTGAGCTGGGTGCACGTACAGGATGATCTCGTTTCAGACGCTTCTCTTCAGATCTCTGTTTTTGTTTCAGGATCAGTTCATTCACTGTAAAACAATTAGAGAATCAGATCATCTTCTAGCAATTCTCAGACTGAAAAAAATATCAACCAAATGTCTTATTTGATATAGAAATATATACTTTATGTGGTAACAATAAGGTTTGAGGACATCAAGTATGCAAAAAACAACTGACATGCATTAGCATACACATACCCAAGAAGTTGGGGTAAAGTTGATCCACATTGTCAATGATATAATTGCATTTTGGGCATCTGTTGCTGTCCTCCAAACTCTGTCGTATACATTTATAACTGAATAGAAATGAAGACATGATTATTTAATCAAAATCTATAAATGTTCTGGAAAATACAATAAATTATCGGTTTAGAGAACAAGTGCTTCTCACCAGAAACTGTGGCCACACTTTGTCATGTGAGCTTCCTCTATCATCTCAAAACATATAGGGCTGTTGAGAAAAAAACAAACAAAAAATCATGACACATGCAAGGCTTGCTTCCCTTTTCGAACACATCAACAAAAAGCTGAGACTTGACTGTTGTTTTGAATTATACCGTAGAGTTTAAAAGTCTTGAGACCACTATTCAAAATTATTTTAAATTTCAATAAACACATCACAAATTATATTCTCAGCATAATTTTGACTGAAAAGGTAACGCATAATTATTTGAACACACACCCACACGCGTCAAATCAAAATTATTTTGAGTTTGTCAGATACAAGTTAATCATTAAACTTGTATGACTTTCTGGGATTGTTGACAAAAAAACTTTTTGACAACAAATTGTCAGTTTCTAACATTATGGCCTGGTTTCACAGACAGGGCTTGATTAAGCCAAGATTAGGCCTTAGTTCAATTAGGGCCTTTAAGTAGCAATTAATTATTACTAAGACATTAAGTATCGAGACAAAACAATGGCAATGACATATTTTAAGATATGCCAGTGCAATTTGCTTTCAGTTAAAACAGCTCAAACATGCACTTTAGTCTATAGGCTTAAACCTTGTCTGTGAACCCGGGGGTGTGTAATATCTGATTTTGTACTCAGCACACAAAAAAAGGAAATCATACAGGTCCAACAACATGATGGTACGTAACCTAGTACGTACGTACACGATTACAGATTCCTTCATGGGGGAACTATCCCCTTTAACACCATGTTGACAATTATCAATTAGCTTCATCCATGGAATTAAATGATTAAGTGCGGAGTAAATCACAGGATTTGCCAGATGCAGGGACTGCAGGGACTTACCATACAAAATCGTTACTCTTGTCCTCATAGGGATTGATCAGACCGTTGTACAGGGGTCTTTTCCTGCTTGACGAGGCCAGTCGAGAACTCTGTCCCTCGGCTACCGAGCCCAGAGTCCGCGAGGACAACCCGTTACCCGAGCTGTTACCGTTCTGAGCGCCGCTGCCCCCGCTGTTCGCTCCACCGGCTCCGCTGCCACTGCTGCTGCTCATTCCCCCAGAGCTCGTTCCGGGGACGGACCCCGCTGCACCGCCGGACTGCTGCTGCTGCCGAGTGCTTGACATGATTGAAGCCGCTCGTGCACGTCGGAAGGCCAGAGCTGAAGCTAAAGCTGCGGGGCTTCACCGCATCCGGGCGGCTGTGGGAGGTAACGCTAACAGGCTAAAGCGTCAGAGATGAGAGAAAATAGCCAGAAACTTCCAGCAAGCGCACTGCTTGCACTGACCGGCGCTTATTTGAGCACAAATGAGACGGCTCTTCAGCATGCAAGTTTGTATTGGGTCAGTTCGATGCTAATGTGGATTTGCAGCTCCGCAGAGATTTGTTGACAACTCTGAGAGCTTTAGAAATTTCAATCCACTGTTTGCTAGTGATGTGTCGTTCATGAACGATTCGTTCATTTTGAACGAATCTTTAATATGACTCGGGACTACCGAGTTGTCTCAGAGAGTGATTCGTTCATTTTGTGCTGATCGCGCATGCGCATTGCGCAACATATGGTTTCTGAATCTGTACTGGAAATGATTAGTTCATCTCTCTCGAGTCTTCGGGTTCGGGACGGGTCCGAGTCTTTCGTTCTTCCTGTCAGTCCCATAGAGACAATGCTGTCAGTACCGGAAAGAGTAATGATTAGTTCATCTTTCGAGTCTCGAGTTCGGGTTCGGCCGGGTCCGAGTCTTTCGTTCTTCCTGTCAGTCCCATAGAGACTATGCTGTCAGTACCGGAAAGAGTAATGATTAGTTCATCTTTCGAGTCTCGAGTTCGGGTTCGGCCGGGTCCGAGTCTTTCGTTCTTCCTGTCAGTCCCATAGAGACTATGCTGTCAGTACCGGAAAGAGTAATGATTAGTTCATCTTTCGAGTTCGGGTTCGGCCGGGTCCGAGTCTTTCGTTCTTCCTGTCAGTCCCATAGAGGCTATGCTGTCAGTACCGGAAAGAGTAATGATTAGTTCATCTTCTGAGTCTTCGGGTTTGAGTCCTTCGTTCTTTTGTCACGTGACTTGTCACCGTATTGAATAGCCTACTAATTCACAACCTTTTTACAAACAAGCACGTAGTTAATGTATAATAAAATAGTAGTTAATTAATGTATAATATATAATAAAACACACCACAGATGCACAAGAAACATTTAGAAAAGAAACGGACAGGGACAATAATAAGATGGAACTTTTATTTTTCAGATAATGTTTATTTCACATATTTTGTATTTTAATTCCTAAATATAAAACAATATACATTCAGACGCAGTCAATAATACGAATCTAATATTGTATTTGATGCGAGATACCAGCGGTCACGTGACAAAAGAACGAAGGACTCAAACCCGAAGACTCGAAGAAAATGAACTAATCATTCCTCTTTCCGGTACTGACAGCATAGCCTCTATGGGACTGACAGGAAGAACGAAAGACTCGGACCCGGCCGAACCCGAACTCGAGACTCGAAAGATGAACTAATCATTACTCTTTCCGGCCTTGCTGTATCACACACGGCACGGCCCAGCAGACAGCGCAGATCAGAGTCACACACTGACGAGTCGACAACGTCTCGCTCGAGACACGAGAGGAGGAGAACAAACCTGATAAATATGAAGTTGCAAAAGAACGTCTCGGATGAGGAGGTGAGGTGAACTAACAGAATCAGACTGCAATAGCCTGAACTTAAAACCCAATCAATTCATAAAAATTTCGGTTTCTTATAATTTGGCTTTGGCTGCATACCCTATAATTTATTTTTATTCTTTTTACAAATGTAATCAACATTTTCGTAAGTTCTAGATGTGTTGGGATATTTAACATGCCATTTTAATTATATTATGCTGAAATGAACGAAATGAACGAAATGACTCGAAAAAAGATTCGTTCATTTTGCTGAACGAGACTCAAAGATCCGAGTCAGTAAAATGATCCGAACTTCCCACTACTACTGTTTGCAGGATGTTCACGCGAGAACTTCCCCAAATGAAACGTTCGCGTGATTCGGAGTTCAGCGGCACTTACTGGCTTGGAGAAAAACTGCAGGTATCAATCAAAACAATCTACCCAAACCTCAAAAATGGTTCTCAAATTCTTATTGCCAACTACCTAACCGTCAAATCAAATAATTCAAGAACAGTCATCACCATCGTTCTTATGCAGCAACTTATGTTGTTAAAAACAGATGGACTATTAATGCTTAAGGTAGGTCTATGACTACATGTAGCTAATTTATATTGTGGCCTAGAGCAAAACGTCAAAGCCTCTTTATGTAATGCTGACCACTGGCCTAGTTTTACTCATGAATAAATACATTAGGATTATCAACTAAATTGTTTATGTATAGCCTATCCATGGTATATACGCAACTTTATAAAACTGGCAAACCGTTACATTGGCTTTGTTTTGGTTTTCCTTAAAACAAAAAGAAAGAAACCATGAGATTAATCATTAGTTGTTTAAATTTTTTTCTATTTTATAGGTTTAACAAACCAGAGTTTAAATCTCAAAGACACCACATGTTAAAATACAATGTACAGTGGCTAACTCAAAAGCTTTTATATGAGATTTTATATGAGACCATTATGAGAACTGAACTGAGCTGGACGATGACATCACTGTTTTCTCTAGAGCGGCTGTATATTATATTCTAGTGCTTTCACTGTAAAGCTGCTTTTAAACAATCGGTATTGTAAGATAGATAGATAGATAGATAGTCTCTAGACTGTTCAGAGTTTTTTTTTTTTTGTCTGTGAAAGCAGTGCAGCGAAGGGTTCAGCTGAATCCCTTTTGCATTCCTCGTCAACTTTCTTTTTACCTCTTTACTTGCAGTGTAGTCAGGATGTTGTTCAGTAGCTTTATTTGTTTGTGTAAGCTGTGCAGTGAAGGTTTCAGCTGAAGTCCTTTTTTTTACCTCTTTACCTGAGCAGTGTAGCCAGGATGTTGCTCTGTCCTAAGCTTTGCACAAAAAAAAAATCTTCATCTACTTCAAAAACAAAGTGGTCAACATCAGTAGCCCACAGTCGAATAAACAACCCACTCTGATCCAGACTTTTTTGAGACCATGCCAGAGTAGAAGCTGCTAAGCTTTCTACCACCCACAGTGTGACCACCTGCCCTCTTGATCCAAAATATCTTCTCTGATCTTGTACCATACTTTTTCTCTGTCATCGGTACATCTTTGACCAGAGGCTCCATCATATCAGACTTCATAAAGGGATATTTCATCCACAAATAAAAATTATGTCATCATGTACTCACGCTCATGTTGTTCCAAACTCACATGGCTTTTATTCTTCTTTTACCTGCTTTGATGATGATCAGCTACTGGATCTTTCAAGATTCAATAAGGACATAAAAGCACTGAAAGTATCATAAAAGTATAGCCCATATTATTTGTGCACTATATTACAAGTCTCCTGAAGCTATTACAGCCTTGTATGAAAAACAGACCAAAACTTCAGTTTATCATTGCCATGTTAAGCCTACACTCTAAAAAAATGCTGGTTTGGGTCAAATATGAACAAACCCAACTGTTGGTTAACATTTTTACATTAATTTTTAAGCCCAAAAGTTGAGTTTGTCCATATTTGACCCAAACATGGGTTGAAACAACCCAGCATTTTTAGAGTGATACTTACTGTCAACTTTATTCACTAAAAATGTTGAGATCTGCCTTAACTCACCTTAGAACAAAACCGTTCAAAAGTTTTTATTTAAAAGAAATTAATACTTTTATTCAGCAATCACACATTATATTGATCAAAGACATAACGTTACAAAAGATTTGTTTTTCAAATAAATGCACAACTGTTTTCAACATTAATAAATGTATAAAGTAATTTAATGTTGTACAAGTACACTTAATATTTAACACTATTATTGATCTGCTTGCATTGACACCATTATATAAGAACTGAACTGAGTTGGACGATGACATCACTGTTTTCTCTAGAACGGCTGTATAGATTATATTCCTGCTTTCACTGTAAAGCTGCTTTGATACAATCTGTATTGTAAAAAGCGCTATATAAATAAAGGTGACTTGACTTGACAAGTATTGGACTGATCTAGTTATCAAATTAAAGTCACTGACTCAATGTTTAGTTGCAGTTGTTAACAACACACTGTGGAAGATCATCAGTGAATTACTAAATCAGTTTGACTAAACCATTTTAGTCTGTACTAGGCCTATCTCACGCAAAACGTCAGAAGACTTGGAATAAAGTGCACAAGTTGTATGAACTACTTTTTATAGTGCATTCATGTTGATTTTGTGTCCTTTTTTGATGCATGAGAGCTTTTGTCTCAATTCAGCTGTATTATGCTATTTTCAAATAGAGCACAGAAAGTGGTAGAGAAGCAAACAAATGTAAAGTGCTGATATGAAGAAAGCAAATGCAATGTAACAACGCAATGAATATGCTAATTAGCGCATGAACTTATCTAGCGGTATTCAGCGACTTTTTAAGCATGTGTTAGCTACATTCCATTGAAAATAGATTGCAACAGTGCATACATTTAAAGACTATTTTTTCCTCAAAGTAGGCTAATCTTAACCAGTCAATCACTGAAGAGCTTGAGGATATTAGTGAGATTAACTAGTGTCAGTCTACATGTTAGGTTATTGGATACAATTTGCATGAAGTTCACACAGAGACTGGGTGGCAGTGTAATACGATTAATCAGCTTTGATTCCTACAGACACTCATGACTGAAGTTTTCATTTTACACAGCAGGGGGAGTTATTATTGTATCTTTAGAAACAATACAGATTCAAACAAGGACACTCACATATAGCCTAACTGTGCATATATTTGACTGTCAAATATTATTTTCCAATGCTCAATTACACAAATTAAGATCAGCTTGACACTTGCCACCTAATTGGATTTAAATTCTTGTGGGGTTTGAGTATAAAACATTCAAATTGTTTTCAATGATTGTTATTCTGAGTAATTGATTTTTTATATATTTAAATGTATGTAAACAGATTTTTTGTTAAATTGTTATTCATAACGGATTTTCCCTGTCAATGATATTGTACACTGTAAAAAATAAAAACGGAAAATATACTGGTAATTTTCTGCTAGGACATTATCCAGTAATTTCATTAAAATTGTCATTAACCCTAAATAAACTTGCCTTGCCTTAAATAAACTTGCCTTGCCTTGCCTTGCCTTGCCTAAACACAATGTGTCTGTAATTCAAAATACAGGAAAAACGAACCACCTGTAAAATAGATAAAATGAAAAATATGGGAAATTCAAAGCCCTCCAACACTTACTTTTGTTGATTCTCATTGGAAATTAAGCTCTAATAGCTGGTATTGTTAGTAACAATGCCAGCTATTAGAGCTTAATTTTCAATTAGATACATATACATTTTCACTGTCTGATTGGCTTATCCATTTGGAATTTAAGTTGGCTTTAAAGGCTTCTGTTAACTCAGTTAACAGAAGCGTTTAAAGCCAACTTAAATTCCAAATGGATAAGCCATCATGGGAGGGGATCGGGCAAAATGTCTGGATGAGTTGTGTGTGCTCACATTGGCCAGCGCTGTGTCTCAATTACAAATGGACTAACTGTGGTTGCCATTTCAAACATTTATATATCTCTAGTGCTTCTGTTATGGCTCTAAAGGGAGAAATAAACCCCTTTAACTGATAGTAATATACTTCAAATATATTGGAGATACTTGACTGATCTGCCACTGTTCAGTACAATGTCTTTTGGAAGGAAAGTGGTAAATTGCACCACACACACACACACAAACACAGTTAATATCATGCTGAATTCATGCCTTTGTTGGAAAATAATTATGAATTATGTTGTTAGTCTCTGGCTAAAAGAATAGCCTGTATTTTAAGACTTGTTATGTGAATGTCTTTCTTATTGTGGTTAAAAGTGTATCATTTAATTTTTGAGACACACCAATTATTTGCTTGGAGTGAAGATCCAGTGATCCTAAAAACAATAACAAAATAAAATCTGTTAAAACATTAGGCACTTTAATTGGATCAGATGTCTGCCTTCGATATTATTGGGCAATGCAGGAAAATGAGTAACAATTCCCAGCTGTCCGCCTCCCGCCTGCCAACACACACATATGCAAACACACTGTCATATGGATGCAAGCATATAAAACCGAAATGATGCACTTACCTATATTATGCCATCAAAGTGCTTTTATGAGGCGATACTAAAGGCAATACTATGAGACAATGCCACTTTATTTAAAGAGTCACCTCAAAACAAATTGAAACACACAAAACTTTAAATATTAAGGTAAACCTTTTTTAAGCCTTATTTATTTTCACAGCATAAAGAAAAGTGGTTGGAAATCATTATAGAGTCCTGGCTTGTTGAAGATGAACAGCGACAACTTCCTCTGCAAAGCAGTCAAATCCACTGAGACATGTTTTTGATGTATATCTAGAACATAAGGAAGGGAAATAAAGAAAAAAGAACATGCCGTCAGATGCTCGCTCAGAATAATCCAGTCTTAAAGCCAAGCCAGCCATGACTAACTAGGAAATGACGTTATAGTTCACACAGTGCACACCTGCTTCCCTCACTGTATCTTTTCAAATATCTATTCGGTGGAATTATTTGCTCCCTGTGGAAGTTAGTTGTGTCTCCTAAGTGATAGAATAACAGTTTTGTCACTGGTTGAAAATGTAGTAAATATCTGCAACAGATTTACTTTTGATTTTCTACCTCTCCTGATAAGTGAATGGGGGTTGCCTTTGGACTTTGCTAGGCTCCTTGTTATTTGTCCAGCACATCAGGTTGGATTTTCCCATTGCGTTTCTGGTCATTTAGAATTGGATTGGGGTAGGGCAGCCTCAAATGAAGGATAATCTCTTAGAGGTCCTTTGCAGTGGGGGGTGAGGCCCGGGAGCGACCATTCACTTTTTTTCCTCTTTTTTTTTTTACACAGTTGCAGCTGTGTCTCAAAGCACTTTGATACAAAAAAAGCTGAATGTTTTGCAGGCAGATCTTTGGGCTGGTTGCGGAATTCTTACCTCCCACTGTTAGGGCCCTTTCTACCCCTGAAGGGGCCCCTGTCGTAACTGCCAGTTACCCCAAGTCGGGGCCTTTTGCAAATTGAGCCTGACAAAAAAATGGTACGTTTCGGAAATTAAACAGCGGCATGTCTAACTTTTTGACCATTGCGATGAGATGTTGTACGTGGTTGCTGAGTTGTTGTGCGGTCACAAATCTACTCATTTGCAAGTCACATCACTCCATATGTAGTGCTGAGTGCCATTCAGGGCTATTATTCACTGTACAAAACAGTAAAGACACTCTGACCACATATTTCAAATGTGGCAGGCGAACATTGACACGTTTGAACTCTCAGCTGAAAGTGTGAATTCCTGGATATTTTTGGAAAGAAATATGGCACATTAGCATTAATGTAAGATCAAAGTGCTTATACAATGGCACTTCATGATTCTGAAAAGAACGAGATGGCTAAATAAGCTTTTCTCTATCATTTTAGATTCTTTAGATGAGAGGAAATAGGACATTACACAAGCTGTTGTATTGCCTTTGAAATGCTCAGAAAAGAACTGGCACATTAAATTGCAATGTGCAGTTTATTCACAAACATCAAAAATATAATTTAAATAATTCATCATTTCTGGGTCTTTCGGTCAAGATTTTTCACACATGACAAGATAAATAAGTCGTTATAACGATAACGGGGAACCACTACGGCTTTCCCTATAGCTGCACGTCTTCATATGACAGCCCAATGACTGAAGTAACTACACAATTCATATACAGAAGGGAAAAAAAAAGTCACATTAGTAATTTAAGTTGACTTGCACTATGAATTAATTTGATGATAAAACTCAGAATGACAAGAACAAAAGATTCTCTTAGATTTTAGTAGTGTGTGAATTCTCATATGCACAACCGACATTTTAATAATCAGAAATAGTTACATTTACTTCAGTCATATTAGGCCATGAGACGGGACCCCAAATTTGGGCTACCGGTACCATTTTGAGGGATTAAATTTCTTTTTGATTTTCATGAAGGTACACATCTCTAGTGTTGGAAAATGTGTGATAGCATTCGATCCATGGTAGCTTTCATTAGAAATCAACACTTATATCATCCTACCTCAAGGTAAGGTGTTCAGTGACTACAAGAGAGAAAAATGTATCCTTTTATAATTTTAATTTTTTTAAATTTTTTTATAAAAATGTATAAAATTTTATCAAATTTATTTAAAGATAAATAAATTCATTTATCCTTTTTCTTGACATTTTTGAAAATCGTCCTCCATAACCAAAAACTACCTTGAATTTAATGCTATCACACATTTTTCAAATACAGGGTCATATACCTACACAAAAATCACCATGCGGTTTAATCCCTCAAAATGGTACCAATCAACCCTCTGTCTCACGGCCTAATCATATTATGCAATCGTCTCTCTCACAACTAAATACGTAAAAAATTTCAGGAAAATGTGTTTGGTGATAACAGACGGGATCTCAGGTATTATAAATACACAGAGATAAATTAGATACTGAATTAGTCTTTCATACATTTTAACAGATCATTCTGAAGTATAGAGGCTGAATTGTGTTCAGGGGCCTTCATGTGATTTGTGTAAAAGGGAGAATTCCTTCCTAATATTAATGCTATATATAGGCCTACACAGGAAAATGTTACTTATCAACAGCTAATCACTGGTTAACTAGTTTATTCATGTTTAAAGAAAGGAGATTTTAATATAAGATGCAAACATTTTTGGTAAAATAAGTTAAGAAACTCTCTAAAAAATAAATCATTAATTACAATTTTAGTATCAAAATTAATCTTATAGCTATTTTATTTTTTATACAAAAAATACAAATTACAAATTTGTCAACTGTCCTTAGTAGCCTATTTGTATGTTTTAACAGTTTTTTCTAATATATATATATATTTCATTTTTACATTTGATATTTAAGGCATATTGTAAAATTGATCAATTTTTTTAAGATGCAGAAACAGGATCAGCAGTAATATTAATTTACACTACTGGGCTAAAAAAAAAAATTATATTTTAATGGTCTTAACAGTTTTAATCACAAATCACTGGTCAGGTAATTAGCAAGAATCGCACAAATACTGTACAAAGTCACATAGCAGGAGCCTTCCTCAACTTGAGACAGCTTTTTGACTGTACGAAGAGTCAGTGTTCCACTCAATGTTAATGGCTTCAAACAGTTAGTTGAAAAAAGTCTCCCAGTTCGTTTGAGTTTAATTTAGTTCAATATTCTCCTGTACTCCAAAGCATTACATGTCTTTTCACATGTGAAGTATAGCTCCCCAATATTAAAAGGCTCCCCACACATAATCATAGCTCTTCCTCCATGCTTCACTGTGGTAGAGATGCATTTGTAATTATATTTATCACCAGATTCTCGAAGACACTGGAGCATCACTACATTGAAACTTGTGTTTCATTATGATTAATCTCCCCACACACAACTTCCCAGTAAGTAAGTTAACATTGCTAATTTTTCTGATCAGTATTTTGCAGGTAAGACAATTAAAACTTGAGAAGAGTGTTCTGGAATTGGTCATAGGTCCATCTCTATTTCTCAGTGTTTACACATCCCTCACTTGTCTTTTCCTATTTCCTACAGCGTTTCAGCCCTGCTTCACATGCCAGGCAGATGTGCTGTCTCTTGCATTACTGTACAGAAGTAGGTGTAGCAGCTAGATGTCAATGGCACTGGGGGAGAAAGTGAGAGTAGCGTGCATGCGGGGCAGGGTTGGACCTGGATGAAGTTTTCTTTGGTTGGGTAAGGGGCTGGGTTTGTGATGTCAGGCTGCAGGAAACAGATAAAACGTTTAGCGCGTTAGTTTGATCTGATGTGGAGATGTGGAGAGCGCATGCAGCGGGACTCAGCCTGGGAATATAAACACACACGGAGCGCAAGAGGAGTCTCCGCACCATCTCAAGGTGATCCAAAGAGCCGTTTTCACTCGGAACAGCATGACAAAAAGACCAATCTCCTTTCAGTACCTTCACATTATTGGATTTTGATCCATATTTGTGAGGGGGAAAAAATTAAGCTGACTTTCACAGCTCCCTGATATCTGAAACACTCCACTGTTAGATAAACCTCGACTTTTTATTTTTATTTTAACATTTTGGCTGTTTATTCGGGCGAAGAAGTGTGACCGCGAGCATTTGGACGCGACCAATTGCGCGCCGGTGAAAGGTGGCAACCTCACATAACCTTTTTCCAGCGTGACATCTCTTCAAACAACCTTACACTGTGCACACAGCAAGCTATGTAAGTCTCTGCAATCAAACGCGACCACAATGAGGATACATTTTTCCGCGCGTAAATTAACTGAGTGAATGACAACTAGACCTTTGCGCGGTCAGAGCGCGCTACAGAGACAGGTTTGAGGAGATCCACTAGACACGAAATGTTATTTGTTTGGAGCTAAGTCCTAAAAAGGGGGAGACAAAACTTAAAGTAGACAGTTTGCTGCCAGTTAGACTACTCGTTATTAGTGACATCCAGTTGCCGACCAGGCTATCTACCTTAATGCACTGACAATTTCGACTTCCCTTGTTAACATTTCTTTTCAAACAATAAAAAAGATTTTCATTAACACCTATTTTAACTTAAACACAGTATATGCTATCGTTGATAAGAAAAAAAGGCACCCAAAACAATTAAAGCGAATTAAATTTTAGGCTATCTCCCTTCCCAAGTGCAATTCAAAACAATCAAACAGATGTCCGCGCTATCTCCTCAATAAAATGACGTTTTTTAGACTACTGGCTATTTTTCTCGCAGTATTTTACACATGGCTGCTGAACAGCGCTCAGTCAGATCATATCCAGAAGTATAAGCGGACACTGGCACAGAGAGCGGACCGAGCGCTGGCTGGAGAGCAGTGCGGCTCTATCAGCCGCAAGCGGCCGCCGCGCTCCACGGCGCAACACTTCCCCCTTGTGGGTGTAGTCGGAAAGTACGCTCGCCTGATAGACTTGCACTTAAGGAAAACTAAAACGGCGAGGTCGTGTTCAGGTGAGTGCGGCTCTAGTGACACGAATGCGATTGAATTAACTAACTGGGATAGTAATGAGAAGGGAAAATATTATGAACTACAAGAAGAGACTTTCATATTGAAGAAAGAAGGCAAACAATCACAGGAGGACACTGCGCCTGGATCTACTAAGTCACACAGACCCTTTAAATCCATATCGAAAGGACACCCTTTACAGACAGAACAGGGTGGTGATTTGATAGACAGCTTGCCCTTACCAAGTAGGGTTGCACGGAGCCTTCCAGAGTTCAACAAAGAAGAAGATGCCCCCAATGATACGCAGGACACCAATATCCACCATATCGACTACTCTAAAGATAGTGATGAGTACTCTGGAGAGCAAGAAGGGCTGCAGAGCACTACTGGGGAGCTATGGAGGGCCGATGTACGAGATGTGCCTGCAAAGTGGATGACAGCTGTGTATTTCAGAGGTCAGGCGGAGCAACTAAAGGTGAACCCTGCATTTGGCATAGAACTTCCTCGTTCCCGCTTCACATTAGAGCTGTGGGTCAAGCCGGAAGGGGGCCAGAATAATCCTGCCATCATCGCAGGTGGGTGTTCATTCATACATCATTCTCATATTCTCAAATCACTCTTCTCATGTTGGAAGCAGGGATGTAGCTTTTCTTCTTTTTTGGTTCTCAAATTTGTTTTTCTAGGAATTGGAATTGTCATAGGCTATTACTTAAAGCTATTACTTGAAGGATACATAATTCACAATTAGCAACTGTCTAATCAGAATAAATTCTGCTGTAAGGCATACAGCCATGCAGACCAAATTTATTATGGGAAGTCAGATTCATTCCTCGAACTCCCCTCAGTTCGTCAAGTGCACCAAATGGTGTGCGGTAGAATCTGTGTTGTGTCACAGCTTTGACACATTGTTGTTTCATTTAAGAGGCCTTTGTTTGAGGATATCAGCTGACAAGCAGATGAAAGGAGAATGGGGAAATGAGGTGCAAACGATGAGTAGTGATATAGGGTGGAGTGTAAGAGGGACAAGTGGCCACCACCTGCTCAGTGTGTCCTGTCTGCTTAATCACTTGTTTAGTGCATATGGCACATTGCCAAGATTTGATTCATAAGCAGCATGTTCTGGAGACCATACTAACACTGACAGCTACCTTCCATCCAGCTCAAAAACATTTAATTTGCTGCAGAAAGTAGGTGGTTTTTCATGTCAATACTTTGTAACTTAGGTATATCATTTATTTATCCTTTATACTATGGGACTGCTGAATGGTTGATTCTGATTGGTTGATCAACATAATGTGTGCAATTATTTTCAGGAAAACTCACAGCTAAAGTAGTTCCAGGCAGGTCTTGACCGCATTACATGTCCAAATCACTTCGCCAAATGATTTCAGTTATTTCAAAGGTCCTTACAGCCAGCAAAAGAACCAAAACCAATAAATATAGTAAACAATAAAAACAACAAATTATTTCCATGTTTTTTTTTGCCCCAAAATTAAATTTTATTGTGTACGGACAGCACATACTCACTCTCTCTCTCTCTCTCTCTCTCTCTCTCTCTCTCTCTCTCTCTCTCTCTCTCTCTCTCTCTCTCTCTCTCTCTCTCTCTCTCTCTCTCTCTCTCTCTCTCTCTCTCTCTCTCTCTCTCTCTCTCTCTCTCTCTCTCTCTCTCTCTCTCTCTCTCTCTCTCTAATAACGGTGTTATGTTGGTTCATCCTACCTTGTCAGATTTTGTTACCTTCAATTAAAACAGTAGGTAGCACAATTCGACAGCAAAAAATCAGATTGTGCTACCAGCATCATGTTCATGTGGGTTGAGGCTTTATTAACATTCATGCCTACCCCTACCCTAAACCTACCCTTAAAACAATGCAAATATTTATTTATTTATTTATTTAATGGCGAAATATTGATGTGTACATCATGGCATGCACAGCAAGCCCTGGTAGGACAATCTGGCGGGTAGGATGAAATGTCAGGACAATGACATTAATAACGGCATTAGCCTTCTATCAATGGATCAATCCTCCAGTATACTGTAGCTCTTACTGTAGGCGTGGGATGAGATGTGTAAGAAATGTGTCTTACACACAAGAATGATTTAAGGACAAAAACCTGACAAATGTCTTGAAATACATAATCTAAACAATGTTGTGAGGTGTGGTCACCATAGTATAAGAGGAATAATTGACTCCGGTCTGTTGATTTATTAGAACAAATAATTATTATCTAATATTATCTAATAATTCATTGGGTCGGGGTCAATTATTCCTAACTTGATAATATAAGGAAAATATATTATTGCTTTATTTATATTTATTTTTTGTTATTGCAAACCTATCACTAAAATTTATGAAATTATTATTATTTCATTTCTATAGAGGACCTTATTGTGCCTTCTCCTTGTTAAGGCTTAGGGCAGCGTTCCAGGTTTTCCTTAACTGTTTTATGATAGATGGTTTTGACAGGCAACTGAGTTGACGTTCAATGCACATATTATGATTACCAAAAAAAAGGGGAAAAAAGGTGTGGAACATCACAGAAGGTGCTTTTATAATCAGGTAAATGGGCATTTTTGTATGGCTGCTGAGGAGGGTCAATGTGGAAATGATTATATCTGGAAGTGCTTCTGAGACTAGTTCCCAGTAAGAAGAACAAAGCGCAGAGTTCTCTGGTTGTAACCTGCACAAGGCTTTTCCTCTACCATGGATGCCAAAAAAACATGCTTTTAGACAAAAAGGGGTGCAAATATTATTCATCTGTTTCTAACACTGATGAGTCATCTATCAGACCTCAAAGAGAGCATTAGATATTCCATTTTAAAATTATCTACCACTTGGATAAAATCAGTATTCCCCAAAGACGTCAAATCTCACAAACCTCTTAAATAAATGAGGGTTTCTACCATCTTGCTATTGTTAAGATTGCATTATTTCACTTTGACATATTCGTCATCACGTCATGTGAACATTCACTCCAGCTCCTTCTGAGGTCAATAGCTTTCTTTTAACAATCAGTGGACGAATCTATTGTTATAAAGCCAGTAAAAAAAAAAATCACTCACTCTGCCAAATGAGCGTTCAAAGGCTTTACTGGAAGTGATCGTTTCAGCGCTAACTTTTCTTTCGCTAATAAGTGATACTATTCAAAAACATTAACTTTTTCTCTGTCTCTTATAAACACTTATCTTATCGAAGCCATCACTCATACAAGGTTACAAAAAAAAGTATTTCTTTAGCACACTTTGTCTCAAGCCAAACTCAGCACTCCGGGGCAGTCTGTACTACTACTTTATTTAGTGGGAGACAGACACTATAAAAACAGTAAGATAAGAACCTGAGCTTTGAAAGTGTAGTAGCATCCAAGTGGATTGTACTCTGGAAAGGTTTATCTTCAAATTCACGACTTCAGGGCTGATACACACTGAAATTAGGAGATGTTGTCACACGCAGGAGCTCCGCACACACATCGGCAGGCTTTTCCAATGAATAAAATTTCAGTGTGGTCCACGTCCCTCAGGATATTTTGTTTAAAGCTGCCCATCTCTCGTTCCCCTGTTTGCAGGGAATAATACACCCAAGTGTGTATGTGCTCGCATGTGCGTGTGTTGTTGGGAGGGTGAAGGGTTTCCCTGACCTCTCTCTGTCCTTCGATGGCAACATCTGTCGGCCAGATGTGACTGCTCCTTATGAAAGGCAGCTGGGAATATCAGTGGATTTGTTGAATGGAAATGACTTAAACTCTTAAACTCTTCAGATAATTAAATGACAATTACTCTGTGCTTGATGAAGCTAACGTACATTTCTGTTCATTGATTTTTTTTCTTCTAGGCGTGTTTGACAACTGCTCGTATCCGTTGAGCGAAAAAGGCTGGTCTGTCGGTATTCGAGCGGCAGATCCTACAGGAAGAAAAGATGGCAGGTTTTTCTTCTCCCTTCGCACGGATCGTGCGCTCAAATCCACCACTATTGTCGGACACCAGCGCTACCAGCCCAACAGCTGGACTCATGTGGTGGTCAGTTATGACGGCCACAAGATGGCGCTGTACGTAGACAACTCCAAGGTCAGCGAGAGCAGCGAACAGTCAGGTGACCTGTACAGCCCCTACATCAAGGCCTGTCGGTTGTTTCTGCTCGGCGGGGACCAGTCTGATCATGAGCACAGTTTTCGCGGGCATTTGGGAGGTGTCACGCTATGGGGTTATGCGCGCACTCACCAAGCACTTAAAGGTCACCAACCCCATGCAGAGAGACAATCTCCCCTCCTGTCCCAGTGGGCAGATTTCTCAGAGGTCGAGAATCAGTGGGCGCCCTACAAAGACCGTCACAACCCGGTCATTGTGGCTCTTCCCATCCCAGAAAGACAGCTTGTGTCTCCATTTCTGGTGCCTCCATGCGGCGTGACTGTGTGTGACAACGCCGACGTCGCCCTCAGTTATAACCAGCGTTGGCAGCTGCGCGCCGAGAAGCGCCTACGTTACCGCATCGTGAATATCTGTAAGGATGACGGCACTGACCCAACAGTCTCTCTGCAGCAGATCCAGCTCCAACACCAAGCCTTGGAAGACGCCTTCCGTCCTTATAATATCACACTGGAACTCAGCATTTACAGCGTCTACAACTCTTCTCTCCAACGGCGCTTCGTCCTCAGCAACTGCCACATTGCAAATGTGGGAAACCGCCAATGTGATCCCGAGTGCGACCATCCTCTCACGGGCCACGATGGGGGTGACTGCTTGCGCATGGGGCCTTGCTACAACTGGAAGCGGAGAGATGGAGTCTGCAACCCAGAGTGCAACAGTATTCACTATGATTACGATGATGGTGATTGCTGTGACCCTGAGGTCACAGATGTCGCAAAGACCTGCTTTGATCCAGAGTCTCCTCAGAGGTAAGCTTGTGCTTCAATATGGTTCCACTTTGGCAACCTGAACCCAGGCATAATTTTAGTGGTATGTGCAAGATGGTTCATGTTTTGGTCCTAATTCAAGGATTGCAAAATCTTTCTAGCATTAAACCCTCAGGATGATATTTGACTGAATGATTGCCTCTATTGAAATCGATTCAGGTACCGTAGTCAACTACCATATCATTACATCAACGATGTACATTTATATATCCTTACTCTATATTCCTACCAAACTGCTTGAATTTAAGTTCTAGGCCTTAGAGGCCAAGACAAAATGATTGAAAGCATTCCCTATCCCTCGCTGAGTTTTTTAGTTCAAAAAATTGAAAAAAGTTATGTGCTTGTTAAATGTTCTCATAGCAGCATCAGGAAAAAGGAAACCAAAGTGTCTTATTGTGAAATAGTGTTTTCTTTTTTTCTTTTTCAAGATTGTCAGAGCATTTTGTATTACTCAACATGCAAAGCATACAAATCAGCCTTCTGGAATAGCTTTAAAAAGCATGCAAAACTTGGATGTAGAACTGAGCCAAAGTATACGCTTAATGTGGCTAAACAACAAAACCAGAGGTCTCGGCTCTATTCATTGTGAAAGGCAGGACAGTTTTGCTCCCGTACAGATTGTTTGATGGCTTGTCATAGAGTCTTTCATTTTTCTAATGCTACATATAAAATGTTCACCAAGTCGCACTACAGCGTAATCCTAAAAATGTGATCTATTAAGATCTTCTATCTATTCTATGCAAGCAGAAAATACTTTTTTTATACGTGTTTTAAACGTTTTAATACTTAAAAATAAGATTTTGAGCGAACCATTTAGGGGATTAGATTATTCAATTGGATATCATATATAATGTAAGATATATGGTAATAAATGCATCATTTTAACTTTCCTACCTTTAATAAGTGCAGACTGCACTGTATTGTTTTGTATTGTATACATAAATGATCACACAAATGTTTAATCATATTCAGTCTGAATCTTGTAGCAGGATAAAGTTGCATCAAAATTCCATATGCAGTCTGGGAAGTGTTGTCCCAGGCTCAGTGTGCATAGACCTAGTGTCTCAGCCTCCAGCTGTTGTCATTTTATGGTTGCTTGAGAACAAGCTTTCTTCAAGGTATGCCTTTCTGTTCCTGAAGGGTTCCTATAGAGATAAATAGGGCCCCAATGATACCATTGGATGGTGGTCTGAGATACACTCATTTGGTAGATTGGCCCTGGGACACTTTTATAGAGGACATCAAGTTTATAGCCAAAATCCACAGGCAAAGAATCTTTGGATAATAAATCAGTTGAACGCCATGTCAACGCTGTTTTTTTTACAAGGCTTAACTGGTTAGCATGGCCTGTTAGATGGTGGTAGATGATGCAACTACACACTCTGCAGGCAAAAAAAGCATCTATCTTTCAGTCATTCAAAAGTAGTTAGGTATTTTGACTAAATAATATTATAAGTTATTATTATTATAATATGAAGGCTTGTTTCCACCACAGAATAAAAAATAAAAAAGGCTATTGCGACTTTCTATCTCGCAATTCTGACTTCAGAATTGCGTGATATAAAGTCGCAATTGCAAGTCATAAAGTCAGAATTGCGTGATACAAAGTCGCAATTGTGTGTTATAAAGTCAGAGTTGTGAGATATAAAGTCGTAATTGCGAGTTATAAAGTCAGAATTGCGTGATATATAGTCGCAATTGTCTTATAAAGATAGAATTGCATGAAATAAAGTGGCAATTGCGTGCTATAAAGTCAGAATTGTAAAATATAAACTTGCAATTCTGAGTTAGCCCCAAATTTGGTCCATCGGTATCGTCTGGGGGGACAAAGTCTCATAGTGATTTTTGGCAAGGTATACACCCCTAGTACTAGAAAAATCACGATAGCAGTGCAGGGGTGGTAGCGAAATCACTTTTTTCAGCTCATGAAGTTACTAACCCCCTAAAATAAATTCCGTTTTTGAAATCTGGTGTATATCTGGTTTAGGCTAATGCTAGGGATATTGTCAATATTCTATAATATGGTGCTTAGTATCATTGGAAAGGGGACCTTTTAGGCTTTCATTTAAGCCCAGTACTGAATCTGTCTGACAAACACAGAGGTCACATGACTTCTTTAAACCAGAAATAACACACATTTTTTCACAATTTCCGCCTAAACTGTATGCTTTCTTTTATCCCTGTGGCATGAAAGAAAACTAGGGACACAAAACTCAACAACTTCAATACTCAAGGCACTCTGATGACTCAGAAAGTGTATAATATACCCATACTATATATTTGTGAGAGCCTTAAATTAGACTTGTGCACTGTGCAGCCAGCACAAGTCTTCAAAATAGAATAGAGCCAATAGAATGGACAAATATAATACCCTATTAGTCCAGGGCCAAATGGCCTATTATTAATGTACAGTTGTAATAAAAAGTAATTGTTTCAATAGTGTTGTCAACATAACACTTGTAAGTGGTTTAACAAAATGTTTCTATCATGTATTTTGATATTCACCCACTTTCAGTTAGAATGTCAGAAAGTAGCTCATGCACGGAATGTTGATGGATTTTGACAGTTTGACAAGGTTTTGTCAGTTTTGTGAAAAGATTGTTGGTTCAGTTGACTGGTTATAACAACACTACCAACTATGCCATCTTCAGTCAACTTCCATTGAGTTCCAGGGGTATTAAATATAAGTACAAAATACTTTTTCTCTTATGAATTGGTGGGGAATAGTAGCTAATGTAAGCTTGGTGTGTAGATAGTTCAAGATCGAGAACTCTTTACCCCTAAATATATTCAGTATGTCACATATGGACTACTGCATGCCTGATGTCCCAGACAGCAACATAGCAGCATAACTGTGGAATCCATATGTACCAGATGTGGGGCGAATCTGGGCCGACACTATGTTGGTATCTGGTGTAACATCAGAAGGAGTCATTGAGTATGTGTAGAAAGTTCAAGATCAAATAGTCTCTCGCCAGAAATATGTTCAGTAGGTCAAATATGGACTAATGTCTGGATGATATAACGATCTAACTTATTCCTCTGTGCAATAAGAAGCACATATGTGCTTTTGCATTGCATTGCATGCTGCAACTAACTTATTCTACATAACTTATGTATTGAAAGTAAAATCATTGCATTAGCTTTTTGCATTACAAAAAAACTCATTCGCTGTTGCATTGCATTACACACACGATCTAATGGTGTGCATTGAAGAATAACATTTAAGGCTATGCACTTGGTGCATTGCCTTGCATACCAGAAATAACTCATTCCGTTGTGCATTATAGAGCTTGAAATTGAAGAGCTTGAATTTGCATTGAAATTTAGCTGTTGCATTGCTACTATATGCTACTTTTTGCATTGCACTTCATACAAGAACTATCTTGAAGAGCATTGAAGCATCGACCTAATGCTGCAACTGACTTATTCATTTATGTATTGAAGTGAATCATTGCATTAGCTTTTTGCATTACAAAAAAACAAAAAAAAAGGTTAAATTTGTGCTGTTGCATTGCATTGCACATACAATCTAACGTTGTGCATTGAAGAATAACATATATGCTACTTTTTGCAGTGCACTTCAACAAGAACTATCTCATTCTGTTGTTTATTGAAGAGATAACATTTAGTGCTGTTGCATTGCATTGCATAAAAGTTTTATCTTATTCCTCTGTGAAATGAAAAGACAACATATAACATACACGCATTGCAAACTTATTCATTTGTGTATTGAATCGTTGCATTAGCTTTTTTGTATTACAAAAAATACGCTGTTGAATTGTATTGCACTCACGATCTAACGTTTTGCATTGCATATAACTATGGACATGTTGCAATGCAATGCATACAGTAATTAAATCATTTCGTTAAGCATTGAAGAGATAACATCTGTGCTTTTGCATTGCATTGCATAAAATATCTAACTTGTACACCCGTGCAATGGACAGAAAACACAAAACATATGAGCTTTTGCATTGCATTGCACATACGATCTAAGGTTTGCACTGAAGAGGAACATTAGCTATTTAGTTTTTCCATTGCAATAACTATCTCATTCCTTTGTTTATTGAAGAGATAACACATGTGCTGTGCATTGCATACAAGTTTTAACTTTTTCCTCTGTGCAATAAGAAACACATATGTGATTTGGCATTGCATTGCATGCTGCAACTTATTCATTCATGTATTCAAGTGAAATCATTGCATTAGCTTTTTCATTACAAAAAAACCCCTCATTCGCTGTTGCATTGCATTGCACACAGGATCTAACGGTGGGCATTGAAGAATAACATAAGGCTATGCGCTTGTTGCATTGGAATGCATACCAGAAATAACTCATTTCGTTGGGCATTAAAGAGGTAACATTTGTGCTGTTGCATTTGCTTTGCACACACAATCTAACGTATTCCTCTGTGCAATAAGAAACACAAGTGCTTTTGCATTGCATTGCATGCTGCAACTAACTAATTCATTTGTGTATTGAAGTGAAATCATTGCATTCGATTTTTGCATTATGAAAAAAAAAACTCATTCGCTGTTGCCATTGCATTGCGCACACGATCTAGCGGTGTGCATTGAAGCATATAACATAACATATAACATACTAAGGTGTAACCTGTAAGTCTATGCGCTTGTTGCAATGCATACAGTAATTAGCTCATTCCGTTCTGCATTGAACAGATAACATGTGTCCTTTTGCATAAAAGATCTAACATTGTGCATTGAAGAATAACATATAATTATGCACATGTTGCATTGCAATGCATACAGTAATTGCTCATTACGCTGTGCATTGAAGAGATAACATTTTTGCTTTTGCAATGCATACAATAACTAACACATTCCGATGTGCATTTTAGAGATATAATTTTTGCTGTTGAAATGCAATGCATTAAATATCTAACTTATTCCTCTATGCCATGAAAAGAAAACAGGACACATTCGCATTGCATACAATAACTAACTTATTCAATTGTGTG